GCAGCTGCAGACTTAATTGGGGTACACAAGGCTACAGCATCAAGGATCATTAATAGTTTCCTGTGTGCTGTCAGGCAGACTTCCACTGTATCCGACTGATGTCTCTACCTTGAATAAGGTAAAGATGGATTTTTTCACCATTGCTGGATTTCCAAATGTAATAGGAGCCATCGATGAAACATACGTTAGAATTCAAGCACCTTCAACCCATGAGCCATGGTTTGTCAAATGTCTTCGCTTCATAAGAGAAAACATTCGAGATGCGCTTCATTCTAGGGGTATAGCGATCCATCGACATGGATCGATACATCGATTAAATGTTTAACGATACGATGTATCGATGTCACATGTGAAATATCGATATCTGTAGTATAAAGGCACAAGGCGAGCGTAAAAGACGCTCGGGATAGTTGACGGCGCTGTCGAGCGCTGTGTGAGAAGTTTTCTGCGTGCAGTGCTGCACACGTATCTGAAGCGCATGCACACAGACAGCGCACGGACACTGAATTGAGTTCTCTTCAGCTTTTTTGTGCATGGGTGAACAATGTTTTATGTTTTAACATTAACAGCTGAGAAAGAAAACGCACGTGTCAACGAAAAATACAAGTAGTGCTCGCTGCTCCTGGCTGAATAACTTTTGTAACATTAATAATGATCAAACTATATTTAATGTATACAGTGGAGACTCTGCAGTGCTATTTTGCATTTGATTATTACATTTCTATACCTGAAATTTTCTTTAACACCTACCTGAGAAGCACTGTTTATTTAATTTGTTCTATTGTATTTATTTTCTGCTATTGCTAGTAATTTGGTTATCTGTAGAAAAGATGTTTAGCACTGAGCTCATAGTAGCAGCCAAAAACAAAAAAAGTTTTAAAAGCTTAATTTTCTATTCTTTTTCTATTTATTTTATCGACATTAATGTATTTTTCCCACAACTGGAGTACCTTGTTTTTGTTGTTTCCTAATAATTTACATTGTTTTACACATTGCAAATTTTAGCACAGAAGCCTGAAAGACTTTTTCCACTGTTGACTCTTGACTGTGACTTGATTTTATTTTTTTTCCCAATTGCTTATTTTTCTTTATTAAAAAAAAAAAAAAAGTGTACGCCTATTTTTCTGTTGTGAATGTTCCAATTGAGGTACAGAATGTGGAAAAATTCAGATAAATGTTCATGTTGTATTTTTTGGTTGCATTTGTGAGTTAATAAAAATGTAAATGGTTGTTTAAAATATTGACATAATATAGCATGATACATAATATGTAGGTACATAATATTGATAAATGGATTGATATACTCCTGAATCGAATCGTATCGTAGAATTTTTTGAGGTATCGTCAAATATCGTATCGCTGGGTATGAGAATCGATATTATATCGTATCGTGACGAACCATCTCGTGATGAAGTGCCACTGAGGAAGCCCGTATCCGTCTCTTTCCTTCTCTCATTATTCCTCTCCTCTTCAGGTACGTGATTAAAAATAAAAACATAAAATACTTCCCCATTTTGTTTATGCAACATAGCTTTGTATAATACTGATGAATTATAAGTGTATAAAAGTTGGTTTTGTGCTCTGTAAAGAGAGTTACATCCATTCCATGTGAATTAAAATGTTATAATATGTGTATATGTTAGATTTATGTGGTTTTAAACTTTGGTGAATTGAGCTCCCTCTTAATTCAGTTAACTTGAGTTAACCGTTATAACGGCCTTTATGAAATTTTAGTCCGCTATCAGAGACGACTGTGACTGTGGCCAACGTCTGTTGTTTTTAAAGATACACACATGAAGCAACAATTTGAACAATAAAAAGCTAAAGGAATGACGGTAGTTTTATCTTTTGTCTTGTAAATAGATACAACATCGTAATATTTGAAGGTTCGTTACCGTGTTTGCATTTGATTCACAGTGTTACTATTCATCTGCTGTCAAGATCAGCGATCAACAATGTAACCTCTAGTCATGTGATTTGTAGTTGCAGGAGGTAAGGATTTGGAAACGTGTCCGTCCTGGATTTCAAGCTAAACTGCGGATCAACAGCAGTCGAGGTATCTCTATGGCGAGATGAGGCCCTTACCGAGCTGTTAAACGGAGACACTGTGGATCTGACCCACCTCCAACCCAACACCAAACACAACGGAAGAATACAATTCAATTCTTCCACACACACCACTGTAAAGGTACACAGTGTAATGCATGACATGATTTCTTTAAATCAAGTCTCTCTCAAGAGAAAGTGAGAGAGACAAAGTGAGAAGTAATGTAGAGCTTATTTAAATACGGTTGTAAAAACTCAGAAAGGCGACTCGTTGAGGAGACGGTGGAGGTGGTAGGAGTCTCTTCTGGAACTGGTGTGATTGTACTTCTGGGAGAGGATTACGAAGAGTACACTGTTCCAGAAGCAATGCATTCAGGAGACCGCGAAGACCTTGTGGCACAGCTGCCACTGAAAATGAAAATTAAACACATCAACAACCGGGTGCTAAGCATCAAAGAGTAGAATTTAAAAAGATAAAGTTCTGTGGTAAATTTGAGTAGCTGTGTGTAGGTAGGATTTTTTTCTTCCTTTTTTAAATGATCATTTGTTCAGTTGCTTAGTTTGTGTGCTTGTTTCATATTGATTTGTTTGTTTATATGTAAATGTTTTTCAATTGATTCATTCAATTGATTCATTCAATTGTTCAATAGTTCTGCTGTTTACTTCATATTTCTTGTTTAATAATGTACACTTACAATTGTAGTTATTTTTATTATCATATTTAAGTCGTAACATAATTCTCAGTCATGTCAGTTTGATGCTTTTCACATGCACACCAGACACAGCCTATATATTAGTATGACAGCATAACATTTTCATATGATAATTACTTACTTTTTTTCATCACATTATATTAAGTTACAAACCTTTTTTGTCCTCTTAGCAGGTTTAACAAGGTTTTACTGAAAAGCAATACACAATATATGTATACAAGAAAAAAAATGCAATCATTATCTAACATCAAATGTGTAAGTGTGAAGTGTTTTATAAATATAATTTTTTATAGAATAAAGGAATTAATATTTGATACTGTGATAAACACCAGGGCAAATTCAAAAATATGAATGGCTGTTTGAAACATTTAAATACTGTTCTATGAAGGTAAAATTATGCCAAAAAGATTAACACGCACAAGGTAAGATCTGTGAAAGTGCACATAAGATTGCAAGCATAAATTCATTTAGCAAATGCAAGAGAAGATTTGTACACATGGAAACTGCATTTCAAGTGTAAGAAAAAAAGATTTGCAGCATTTCACTGTTTTTCATAAGTGTAATTCATGTACTGTAAAACTGCAGTTTCATGCTAACACAAAATACACATGATCTTTATTCTTTTCATCTTTATTTTTCTGCGGTTTCACAATACACGAATTACACTTACGAAGAACAGTAAAATGTTGCAAATGTTTTTTGTTTTTTTTCTTTCTCACACTTGGAATCTGATTTATACCTTTACAAATCTTGCTGTTGCAAATCTTAGCTTGTGCATGCACATTTTTTGCCATCTACCTTCAAACATTATAAAAATGCCAAGTGGTCTAGAAAGAATAAAAATCAAACTCGCCCGTGATTCAGCGATTATCAGTGTTATCAAACTCTCTTGGTGCTGCCTTGTACTAGCGACAACACCTTTAGCATTTTGTCGTCGGAAATTGAGTTTGAGACCAATGTTCTAAACTGTTTTAAATGTCAAAGCATTTTTCTGTATTTGTTTTCGTAAAAACTACAGATTTTTTTTGTTTTTGTTTTACAGTTGTTTGTTTTTGGTCACCACTATGCTGAAGAGTGGAGTCTGTTTAAGTCAAGGTCAAGCAATGGGTTGGTGATGTTATGCTGCATGTTGCTTTGTTTGAAAGCACTAAAGCATCTGACGTGGAGCACTGCTTATGTAATTAATTAATGATAAGCTACAAAATTTAAGTAAATATAGCTTTTTCACACATTAACTCATTGGGGTCAACGGTCGCGCCGGCGCAACCAGCTCACTTTTTTTAAGATCAGTACAGGAGACACTAAAAATACTGTTGATTTTGGTCACACAAATAAGTGTTCTATATCGTTCGAAACTGTTAAGTGTCTACTTTTATTTGTGTAAACTCGCAATAACAACAAAACCTTGTGCTTTTGTAAAATAAAGAAAACAAACAGGGTGCGTTCTCAGTCTTCTTCTTGGTCTCTGTGAATATCCATCTGAAACGCGTCACTGAAATGAACAGAAACTCTGTGAATACTTTACACAGAGACATGAGAGATATATCTATAGATTGGGATGTCTACTTTTAAATTAAGTATGTCTTATCGAAAAGAAATATTCTGTGACAAAGTAATCCGTATGAAACAAACACGATGTTCAGTCTTTCCCGTCTAAACTCATTATCTCTAATGTGATCCCACCCACACGCGGCTCACGCCCTTCATATGATAATATCCACGTGAGACGAGCACACATTTAAACGCCCAATGTAACAAAGCGTAAGGATAGTCAAGTTCATCTACGGTTCGTTTCTGGAAGAAGACGCGCTGAGAGGAATAAGCCAGAATTTACCTCAGAAGAAGAAAAAGACGTGACGCGCGCTTCATCCAGCGGAGGAGATCATTCTGATGAGTAAATATTGTTTATTTTTTGCATTAGTTCACGTGTTATTGTGACATAAACATAAACACATTTACTAGTTGGGTTTTTCCCAAACTATAATTCCTGACTAAAATGTTTGAAATGAGTGAAGCATTTTGAATATGATAGACAATTCATTGTATCTAAATTTCTTATGATGCGATGATGTTTTCATGCTCTATTCAATATAAAACAATACGATATAGAGGAGGGACTTTGTAGAAAACGAAGCGTTTGAGAGAGGCGGGGCATAGAGGACCTACAATAATGTACAGTATTTGAAAAATAATGTGTTTTTTGAACATTAAAGCATGTCAACATATTCTGTTACACCAAATACACAAAATAATGATCTTTAAAAAAGCATGTTAAAAACCTTTAACTAAAGCATGTGATTATCTTCAGAGATGAAATGGTTTCTCATGGTTCTGCAGGTGGCAGTGGGACTTCAGTTGGAGGGTTCGACTCGTTGCTAATTATTAAATCACGGCAGAACAACACCGGTTCATCACCGAGACCCAGTCTGTACTGCCACAGATATAAACTCCTGTGTGGCTTCAGCTCAAATGATAGCAGTTCTTCTACATCGGTCGCGTCATTCCAGGTTTCCTTCGTAGCGCACACCTGTGCACCTCCATATTCTGCAGAAAAGGAGAACTGCCATTTTGCAATTAACCCTGTGAGATCTCCAGAATAGATCAAGACTGACGGAGATATCTTCCAGTTGTGTGTCATCTGTGTCATCTTCTCCTTGTTGTAACCGATCTTCTTAATGATTTTTCTCTGCCATGTCACTGGTGTGTCACTGTCGTTAGTTATAGTTTTAATATTCTCCCACCTGCCAAAGGCTGGACCTCTAGTTATCGACAGACCGCCAGGCAGGAAGTTTACAACATCAGGGTGAACAGAATAGTCCACAAGACCATCGTCTTTCTCAAGGTCGGCGCCTTTGCAGTATTCGACTCCCCAATCTGAGACTGGCTTCAGGAAGCAGCAGCATTCTGACAGACCCCAGTAATAGAGTCCGATGCTGGATTTAGGGTTCAAATTGATTTTTACATCAGTGGAGATGCTACCCAGGCCAGATGTTAGTCTGCAAATTCCCCTACGTTTGAAAATGACAGCAAAGAACTTATTAATGCCTAAGTAGTGGTCTCCATGTTGGAAGTCGGGATCAAGGTCTTGAACAACAGCGTTAGCATCCGTTGACAGATCAGTGACTCTGCGGAACGATTTAGCCTTAATGATGTAAAAGTAGCCTTCCATATCAGCAAGATAATGGTCTCCGTTTTGGCAGGAGGGGTGCAAACTGAAAATAGTGAGGTCTGAACATTTGTTTAAATCACTCGTTTGCATGTAACAGCCGAGATCAGAGCGGATTATATACGTGTAGGTTTTCCCTGCACAGATGTCGACACCTTTAGTTTTGCTTCTGGGGATAATGGGCCTCATTTATCAATCTAACGTAGAAACGAGCGCAGATCTGTGCGCACAAATCAACTTACGACAGAGTTCACGTGTGATTTATGAAACATTCGTATGCCGCCAATCTCATCGTACGAATGATCGCATGTTGATAAATGTGGCGCCAGAAAACTATCGTCATTTGAATATCACGCCCCTAAAAACACCCGGTTTAGAAGCCTCGCCCTAGAGTTTACGACACGGAGAAACGAAACCCGGCCAAAAAGAGGAAGTAATCTCGCTAAAGAGAAATTGATCTTACTCCGCTCACGTCCATATTGATAAATTCCAAGTTTTGCGTTGAAACGACCGTACGCTCAATTTTCTGTCGTACGTTCGTTTCGTAAATGAGGCCCAATGTCTTTCATCGTGCCTTAACCTGCAACACAGACCAACACAGACATATTAAGCATCATCATATCACTAATTCTAGATATGACTGATATGTGACAAACTACAATATAAACTTTAGTTCCGATTTTACACTATTCGGAAAACCCCAATTCCGAAATTCCTTGATTTTATACGTTTTAAGACTATAAAAACCATTAGACACCTTGGAAAAATCAGAAAATATG